TTAACCTCCTTTTACCCTTTTGTGATAGTAAGAAAACTAGAAATAAGCTAACACTTTCGTGCTTTTAATTCTTCATATTGAATTTTATGCTGGCATTTCAAATTTTAAATGCTTCCTCCTAGAACCTAGAAAACTGCATGTCCTACCTTCCCTCTTATCATGAAAAGGAAGGAAAGAAACAAATGTTTACCAAGTCCTCCCTGTGCTGTGATTCGGCCCTAGAAGAGCTGAACATGCTGAGGGTTTAAAATAAATAGGGTGGGTCACAGAATTAATTTATAGAATAACTGAGATTTTTTTAAAAGAATTATTTTATTTTACTTTATTTATTTTAATTTGACCAGAGACGGAGTGAGTGAGAGAGAGAGAGAGAGAGAGATGGAAAATGAGAAAGCAAGTTGCCAGGTCCGGGACTCGGACCAAGCTTAGCCATGTGGAAATCCAGTGCCCTTAACCACCATGCCACTTGCCAGCCCCAGAATAACTGAAATTTAAGCCTAGTTTTCAAAGTTTCACTGGCTCGGGCTGGCAGGTGGCATGGTGGTTAAGGCAGCTGGGTTCCCACATTGCTGACTGTAGTTTGAGTTCCGGACCTAGCAGCTTGCTTTCTCGCTTTCCTTCTCTCTCTGGTCAACTTTGAAAAAATAAAATAAAATAATGACAATGAATTAAAAAAAAAAGTTTTCGTTGGCTCAAAAATCACTGGCTTTTCTCCTATGGCCCCTAAGTCCTTGGACAACGGACCTATAGATATTAAGAATATCTGGGGTAACCCACTCTCTGGGACCCCTCCCTTCTTCTCGGGAGCTCTGTTTTTTCTTCCCTCTCCTTCAATAAGCTTCCCACTTTGCATACCTACTCTCTGTGTCCGCGTCTCTCTTTCTTCCTGAGCGTGGGACAAGAACCGTGTCTCACTACGAAAGTGGGCCTGATTGCCCAAGTGTCATGTTGTGGTGCGTTGGCCAGGACATCCAGACTCCGCTTCCCATCGAATGGGAAGTAATGAGGACTTTCTGTCTTTTTCAGGACACTCTTGTCCCTAGAAACTAGATCTATCAGATGAAATTACCAGGCACTGGACAATCATGTAAATACCTTTAGGATGACTCCAATGTGAGGCTGGCCGGGAAACAGTCAATCTCTCGGTATTATCAAAGTGTTGAGAATGTTGACTGTTTTGTGACTCGGTTTCTGTTTCTGGACTCTTACCCACTGTGGGGAAGGTGAATGTTCATGAGGCAGCTGATGGTGCATGCCAGGGTATTGCTGGTGTATCCTGAAGGCCCTGAGAATTTGAAGCCATCCCTCATAGCCCAGCTGGGTGATGGGGCAGATTCCTTTCTCTCCTTTCCATCTTACCCACTAGCAGGAGTGTTGCAGAGAACAGACCACTGAGAAACCAAGCACTACTCGGAGAGCAGAACTCCGTTTGTAATGCTGGTGGTCCCAGAAGAGCTCTTAACCGAAAGCCTGAGCCCCGACTTGTGGACGTTACAGGGGTGATACAGCCTGGGTCATGAACACTGCAGGCCAAGGAAACTGGACGAGTCCCCAAACAGCTGCACTCCAGCTTGTAACATTTCCCAGTGGGCACTTACAAAGGTGGAACAGAAACGCTCCCTGTTTATAGGCAGTTAGCCAGCAGGATCCCTGTCATTACCCCTCTCTGATGCCCTTAGGTTTTCTTTTCTTCTTTTCAATTAACTTTATTTATTTTTGACCAGGGAGAGACAAAGAGAGAGAGAGAGAAAGTGAGAAAGCAAGCCACCAGGTCCGGGACTCGAAGTGTGGTCGGCCATGTGGGAGTCCAGAGCCCTTAATCACTGTGCCACCTGCCAGCCCCAGATCTAGGAAAATTCTCAGGTAATTCAGGGAAATGTTATACATATTGTCAATTCACCTTAATCTTTAACTTTCACCTAAAGAGCACCTAAGAGTCACTCCTGGTAATCCTGAAGGCGGGGAACTTTCCCCAACGGCAGGATCTGGAAAAAGCCCAGATCAGAGCCTTTGCCTAAGTCCTTGGACAACGGACCTATAGATATTAAGAATATCTGGGGTAACCCACTCTCTGGGACCCCTCCCTTCTTCTCGGGAGCTCTGTTTTTTCTTCCCTCTCCTTCAATAAGCTTCCCACTTTGCATACCTACTCTCTGTGTCCGCGTCTCTCTTTCTTCCTGAGCGTGGGACAAGAACCGTGTCTCACTACGAAAGTGGGCCTGATTGCCCAAGTGTCATGTTGTGGTGCGTTGGCCAGGACATCCAGACTCCGCTTCCCATCGAATGGGAAGTAATGAGGACTTTCTGTCTTTTTCAGGACACTCTTGTCCCTAGAAACTAGATCTATCAGATGAAATTACCAGGCACTGGACAATCATGTAAATACCTTTAGGATGACTCCAATGTGAGGCTGGCCGGGAAACAGTCAATCTCTCGGTATTATCAAAGTGTTGAGAATGTTGACTGTTTTGTGACTCGGTTTCTGTTTCTGGACTCTTACCCACTGTGGGGAAGGTGAATGTTCATGAGGCAGCTGATGGTGCATGCCAGGGTATTGCTGGTGTATCCTGAAGGCCCTGAGAATTTGAAGCCATCCCTCATAGCCCAGCTGGGTGATGGGGCAGATTCCTTTCTCTCCTTTCCATCTTACCCACTAGCAGGAGTGTTGCAGAGAACAGACCACTGAGAAACCAAGCACTACTCGGAGAGCAGAACTCCGTTTGTAATGCTGGTGGTCCCAGAAGAGCTCTTAACCGAAAGCCTGAGCCCCGACTTGTGGACGTTACAGGGGTGATACAGCCTGGGTCATGAACACTGCAGGCCAAGGAAACTGGACGAGTCCCCAAACAGCTGCACTCCAGCTTGTAACATTTCCCAGTGGGCACTTACAAAGGTGGAACAGAAACGCTCCCTGTTTATAGGCAGTTAGCCAGCAGGATCCCTGTCATTACCCCTCTCTGATGCCCTTAGGTTTTCTTTTCTTCTTTTCAATTAACTTTATTTATTTTTGACCAGGGAGAGACAAAGAGAGAGAGAGAGAAAGTGAGAAAGCAAGCCACCAGGTCCGGGACTCGAAGTGTGGTCGGCCATGTGGGAGTCCAGAGCCCTTAATCACTGTGCCACCTGCCAGCCCCAGATCTAGGAAAATTCTCAGGTAATTCAGGGAAATGTTATACATATTGTCAATTCACCTTAATCTTTAACTTTCACCTAAAGAGCACCTAAGAGTCACTCCTGGTAATCCTGAAGGCGGGGAACTTTCCCCAACGGCAGGATCTGGAAAAAGCCCAGATCAGAGCCTTTGCCTCAGAAGAGACTCTATTTCCAATGTGGGACACCTGGGCACCAGACAATGTCCGTGACTGGTATCCGCGCGTTCCCCCACTGGGGCTTCGTCCCCAGGGTGGAGCTACTTACTAGAGACGGGGATGCCCTGAGCTCCAAAGGAAGTTCAGGACTTCTGAGTCTGTGCTGGCCTCCAAAACCGAGGCCTGATGGGGCCCAGGGCCCCATGACTTCCCTTGGGCATCTGGTACTCTCACTGAACAAGCCTCAGGTAATCTTTAAAGTGACGAATAAGAATTAAGGTTTTTAAAATAACTCATGTTTAAGTCGGAGGTAAAGATTGTTTCTAAAAGTACAGTAAAAAAGAAACCAGGGAAAATAACAGTAAGCAAAAGAGGTGACATAAAGGGAAGGTTACAGCAGTAAAAATAGTTTTAGTAAGAAGGTTAAAAGGAACGGTTTTAACCAAGAAAGTATTTTGTATGGTAAAGTTTTGCCTTCAGGAAAATGGCTAATGTAAAGAAAACAAAGGAACAGAAAAACCCGACACGTCTACAGCATGTTGTTGAAGGTTGAGTCATACTGGAATAGTCTAGGAGTTAAAAACATTTTGATACAATTAAAGTTGTATTGCTAAGCAACAGAAATGGCTAAATTTCTTGATCTCTTACATCTCTGTTGTAATAAACTGCTCTTCTTTTAGAATCCATCAAGTTACAAGTGGTAGTTAGGACCAAGTCTCCAATGAACATCCATCAAGACGTCTATAAAGCACAGGCCTCCAGACAGACCGCTGGTAGAGGATCCTTAACTGCTGCCTCCTGCCCCACTCACTCATCATCCAACTTCGGCAGGAAGGAAGGTCTTCGACCCTTGTATCCCCTAACAGCAGCTAGGGTTTCCTCTGCAGAGGGGGGAATGAGGTAGGAGACAGGGACCCTAAAAATATAGTTAGGGTATAGGCCCAAAATGGAATCTCAGAATGGCTAAGCTTTGAGATGGAGACAAAGCAGCTTTGCTGCTTGCCCTAGAGAGACCTCTTGCAGCGGCGGCCCAGTGACTGACCTGGGCAGTATGATCTAGACTTAAAACAAAGGCTTTTTCCAGGTCCTACAACATTCTAGGAAAGGAAAAGATAATACAAAGATCTCCTGACCTTGGTACCCACTCTAAAATTAGGAAAATAACTGGACTCATCCAAAATGTGCCCCTCCCCACCATGAGGGGAATGCATGCACGAGCCCCACCTACACCAAGTCTGAACAAGGCCCCTTGGTCCCAGGTAAAAATCCCTCTCCACAGTTCTTCCTGGGCAACCCATTTTCCAGGACCCCTGCCTTCTTCTTGGTAGTTCTGTTTTTTTCTTCCCTTTCAATAAACTCCCTACTTTGTTATACCAAAAATAAATAACTAAATAATAAAGAATGTCTGTGTGAGCAGGTATAAATGTTTAGCCCAAATAGAAGTTTCAAATGATGTCCTAGAAAACAAATAAATAAAAATGATTGCTCAACTATCCAACTACCAAAACAGCAGCAGAAATAGATGCCATCGTGGGAACCCAGGAAGCTAAACTGTGAGGATCGTTGTATTCAGGAGTACCAGGTGGTACTCTGCAGTCTGCAGACCGTGCTCTCTTTACCTGAGCCCAGAAAATAGATCTTACTGCACCCAAGGAAACAACTAAGTGAAACAGACACATTTCCAAGCTTACAAGAGCATCCAACTTATGAACAGCCACTGTGTCTACCTAATTCCTGAGCCTACAAGGAGAATCGTTGAATGTGGAGTCTTAATAGGTCTCTAATCTTTATAGATACACATCAAAAGAGAATAGCACTTCTTAAATAAGCCAAATAAAACTGGCTCCTTGATGCATACTCCCTTTAGTTAATTTCCTACACAGTCAAGAACAGAGAACAAAAAATACTCAACTAAATGACATTTATAACAGTTTACTTTAAAGAAAAAAGTATCTAAAGAAAGAAACTTAATCAAATTTTAAAGAATTAGTATCTTTCAATTTTTAATTTTCCTTAATTAAATAGATTCAAAGACCACATAAGATGTGAGTTGAAGGACTCCATAAAAACAAACTGTCTCTGGAGCCAGCAAGTGGCATGGTAGTTAAGGCACTGGACTTCCACATGGCCAAACATGGTTCAAGTCCCAGACCTGGCAGCTTCCTGGCAGCTTAAAAAGCATGCTAGATGCATGAGTACGCACATTCAAATCTCAAAAAGAGAATGAAGAAGGAACTGTAGCATGAGCAAGCCTCAGGGGATGATTTCTCACTCTTTTTTTTTTTTTTTTTTGAGAGATTTTCACTGTAGGGCGCGTGCGCTCGCCAGACAGACAGAGAGAGACATAGAGACATAAAGCGAGAAATCACCCCCCAGGGGGGATGGTCACGCCGCAATCCCTTCTCCTCCATTCTCCTCTCGGGATCTCGGGCACGCACGCACACGCGCCCGGCGTGAGTTTTAAGCCACCAGGTCCGGGACACGAACCACGGTCGACTACGTGGGAGTCCAGTGACATAGCCATTACGCTAACTGCTGGTTCCCGATTTCTCACTCTTTGACCCCCCCGCCCCAACTGCAAGTACATTCACCCTATGGCAGAAACCTAAAAAAAAATAAAAAAAGAATAAAAATAAAAATAAGCTCTTTGAACTGAGGGGCTATTCAGAGGATTTGGGTTAACAGAACACTACTGCACAAGACCTGTAGCCAGGTCTCCAGATCAGAACATGGTCCTTACCACTCTTCAAGTTTCAGCTCATGGAGTGCCTTCCGGTCCTTCTGCTTTCTCTCCTGAACAGACTCACCGCAGTACTTCTGAATGGCTATCAACAGACTTCCTATAGGAGTGCTGGGGGAAAGCAGAGAAAGCTCAGAAGAAAGCCATTAGCTCAGGCAACATGTAAGGCATGAACATACCACTGAGCCACCTGGGCACTATCAAGCATTGGAAAATCGGACAATTAAACTGTCCTTGTTGAATTAAAAAAATTAATAAATCGAGGCAATTTCCTTCTTGGTCTTAACAACAGAGAAAAACAACTTCCTAAAGTTAACTGGTATAAAAAACAGCAGATATATGGGGACAGCAGGGAGCACAGTGGATAAGGCACTGGATTCCTATATGAATGACTGCAGTTCGAGTCCTGGACTGGGTGGGTTGAAAATCATGAAAAATGAATAAATAATCGTTTAAAAAATAGCAGATCTAAAAATCCGCTTTTTTAAAAAAAATTTTAACATGAATGAGAAACAAGCCAGGACAAAGAGGGAAAATATGTGTTTATGATAAATTCTAATAAGTAGCTCCATACTGAAAGTTCTAAGAAGTAAAAATACTATGTTGACAGTTCAGAATGAATCTCCCTAGGGGACAAAATGTAGATATTTTAGGTTGGGGGAATGATATTACTTTTGGGGACAGAGCCACCAAAACATCCTAAAATTCAAGAGTAGTTTAACTGTCTCACCTACAATGCCAATAGTTACCCACTGAGAAAATGATTTAGGTAACAGTTAAAGCAATGAAGAGGGTCTGGTTCTTGTGCTCTGAGAGAGATGGGGTTTTTGATTTTGATAAAATTTAAATTCTTTTCTGGTTACAACTTAAGTCATCTCATTACAAAAACTATTTTTGCTAATGGAAGCAAACTGAATGTCCATGACAGGTAAACATATAAAAAAGAAAATATGCTATATACATACAAGAGAATACTGTGTAGCCCTAAAAACAAAAAGGAAATGTTCAATGTTACCTTATGGATAAATCTCAGGGACATCATCATGTGAAATGAAATAAGCCAGTCATAAAAGGACAAATATGATATGATTCCGCACATGAAGTAGTCAGCATCATAGAAACTGAAAGCACAAAAATGGCCACCGAAAGCAGGGGTCATCGGAAGGAGTTCAGTGTTTAGCGGGAATAGTTTCAGCTTTATAAGACAATAAAGTTCTGCAGATCTGTTGCGCAACATTAGCAATATACTTAATATTGACTGTGCATGTAAAAATGGTTAAGATGGGAGGGCCAGCAGGTGGTACGGTGGTTAAGGCACTGGACATTCCCACATGGTCGACCATGGTTCAAGTCCTGGACCTGGTCACTTGCTTTACCATTCTCTCTCTCTTTCTGTGTGTGTCTCTCTCTCTGATCAAATTAAAATAAATGAATAAATAAAATTAAGTAATTCTTTCATAAAAAAAAATGATTAAGATGGTAAATGTTATGTTGTTTACCACACACACACACACACACACAAAAAAGTGCTGGTGGGACCAGCAGATGACATAATGGTTACATCGCAGGACTCCCATAGTTAACCGCAGTTTGAGTCCCAGACCCGGTGGGTCAAAACCCATACTGGGCGCATATGCATGCATGACCAAAATTCCATGAGGAGATTGGAGGAGAAGGGATTGTGGTGTGGCCATACCCCAGTTGGGGGGTGGTGTTGGTGACTTCTCACTTTCTGTCTGTCTCTATTTCTAGCAAACACATGTGCCCTATAGCAAAAACCTCTAAAGGAAAAATTTTGGTCTGGTTACTTCAAAAACTTTTCCCTTTAAACCAAACTGTCAGAAAGTAATAGAAAACCAATACATCAACTAATTAAAGTTAATGTTATTTTTAATGGGTAACACTTCTCTTGATGTGATACGTTAAGTACACAACTTCACCTACGTTATGTTCCTGACAAAAATATTTAACCTGGGACTGGCAGGTGACGTGGTGGTTAAAGTGCTCCCACATGGCTGAAAGAAGTTTGGGTTCTGGACATGGTGGCTTACTTTCTTACCCACTCGCCCAACTCTGTACCTCTCTGGTCAAAACAGAAATAAAAATAAATAAATAAGTGATATAAAATAATTCTTTTTTTTTTTTGAGAGGTTTCTTTGCTATAGGGCGCGTGTGCTCGCCAGACAGAGACATAGAGACAGAAAGCGAGAAATCACCCCCCAGGGGGGATGGTCACAACGCAATCCCTTCTCCTCCATTCTCCTCTCAGGATCTTGGGCACACACACACACGCGCTCGGCGTGAGTTTAAGCCACCAGGTCCGGGACTTGAACTGCGGTCGACTACGGGGGAGTCCAGCGACATAGCCATTACGCTAACTGCTGGTCCCATTATAAAATAACTCTTAAAAAAAAATAAAAAAAGGCTTAATCTAAACCTAATCATAAGGGGATCAAACAAAATTGAGAAACATTCCAGATATTATGATAATCAATGATTTTGAATGTGAACCCTGTCTATAACATTTACATAGAAAAACTCTTTACTGTGATAATTATAATTTCATTGGAGAATATTCCTCATCCTAGGAAATTCAGGGTGATATATTACTGGATAAAGTGTTAGGAGGTCTCAAAAGGTTTAGCTAAGAAGCAAAAAGAGAAAAGAAAAAGAAATATACATGTATCCCACACATTATACAGAGATATAAAATATAAATATGGCGGGACCAGCAGATGGTGTAATGGTTACACTGCTCACACATAGCTGACTGCAGTTCAAGTCCCAGACTCAGTAGCTTCAAACTTACACCTGGCACGTGTGTGTACATGCCCCAAATCCCAAGAAGAGAATGGAGAAGGGACTGTGGTGTGGCCATCCCCTCAAGGGGGTGATTTCTTGCTTTCTGTCTCTCTCTCTCTGATGAGAAAACACACACCCTATAGCAAAAATCTCTCAAACAACAACAAAAAAAAGGCAGCATGTTAACAACTGCTGAAATGTTTCGGTGAACTAATTCATTAAACTTTTCTGGAAGTTTGAAATAGTCCACAGTGGCCCTATGGACTAGTGATTAAGGGAGCCAGATCCCACATAGCCAAGCGTGACTCAGATCCTAACCCTAATGGCTTAAAAAAACATGCTAGTCACGTGTGCGTAGCTTGCCCCAAACCCTGACAGGATGGAGAAACGGAGAAGGGACTGCAGTGTGACCATACCTCACCAGGGTGGTTGGGGGACGTGTTTTTTCTCTCTCCCTATCTCTGTCTCACAAGACCATGAAATCTTTGGCAATGAAAAAAACAGGAATTATCCAAAGTAAAAAAGCTAAAAAAGAAAATTTTCCAAAACTTTATTATGCTAAACAAACAAAACCTAACCAGTTTTATGCAACATGCTTAACTGTTTCTTAATCCTTCTTCTGCTCCTTATAAGTAATTTTATTCAAGCTATAAATACTGTCAAAAGTTAGTATATATATATATATACTTACACTAAACTGGCTAAAAAAAGAGAGTTTTGGGGTTGGTCTCTGAGACCTGAAAGCTGACAACTTCTTTGTGTCTGGGAGGCTGCTCCCGGCGACTCTGGACTCTGCAGCCATCAGGTGCCACAAAAGGAATATACTGAATTACATTGTAAAGGCTATGGATACCGTTTGGATTACCATAAGAAAAAGAGAAAGAAGGAAAGGCGAGAGGTTCTTGAACATTCAAAGGAGGCAAAAAAGATGATTGGTCTGAAGGCTAAGCTCTATCATAAGCAGCACCATACTGGAAAATACAAATGAAAAAGACTATCAAGAAACATGAAAAGAGGAACACTAAACAAAAGAATGATGAAAAGGCTCCACAAGGAGCAGTACCTCCCTATCTGTTGGACAGAGAAGGACAGTCCCGAGCTAAAGTATTTTCCAATATGATTAAACAAAAATGGAAAGAGAAAGCAGGGAAAATGGGAAGTCCCTCTACCCAAAGTTCGAGCCCAGGGAGAAACAGAAGTATTAAATGTTATTTGAACAAGAAAGAGAAAGAAGGCATGGAAGAGGATGGTTATAAAAGTCTGCTTTTGGAGACCAGCAGGTGGCATGGTGTCTAAGGCACTGGACACTCCCACGTGGCTGACCATGGTTTGAGTCCCAGACCTGGTGGTTTGCTTTCTCACTTTTTCTCTCTCTCTCTTTCTATGTCTCTCTCTGGTCAAATTAAATGAATGAATAAATAAAATTAAATAATTCTTAAAAAAATAAAAAGTCTGCTTTGTTGGAGATGGCCTTACTAGAAAACCACCTAAATATGAAAGATTCATTAGGCCAATGGGCTTATGTTTCAAGGAGGCCCACGTAACACATCCTGAACTGAAAGCCACCTTTTGCCTGCCAATACTTGGTGTAAAGAAGAACCCTCATCTCCACTATATACAACTTTGGGTATAATCACCAAAGGTGCTGTCATTGAGGTGAACGTGAGCGAGTTGGGCCTTGTGACACAAGGAGGCAAGGTTATTTGGGGGAAATATGCCCAAGTTACCAATAATCCTGAAAATGATGGATGCATAAGTGCTGCCTTACTGGTTTGATAGCAGTTGCACACAAATAACTCCTTGTAATCTTTGAACGTGATACACCAATCTGGAAAACCATCATGACTGCTGTTTCTGAATATAGCTGGCCTTACATGTCTGCAGTCATCAAAAGATTACTTACTAAATTGCATAAAAACATTAAAGTGACCTGGTTTTACCAAAAAAAAAAAAAAAAAAAAGTTTTGGGACCAACATTAGGCATAATGGTTACATCACTGGACTCCCACATAGTCGGCTGTGGTTCAAGTCCTGGCAGCTTGAAACTCATAGCAGATGCAGGCGCGTGTGTGCCCCGAATCCTCAGAGGAGAGTGGAGAAGGGATTACAACATGGCCATCCCTCACCCCCCCCTGGGAGGATATGATTTCTTACTTTCTGTCTTTCCGTCTCTGTCTCTCCAGCAAGCACACGCACCCTATAGCAAAAATCTCTCTCTCAAAATTTTTTTGCTCAGTGAAAGGAAATGTTGATCCTATTTTAGATAGTTATATTAAATCAATGTTAAATTACTTATTGTGGGGCCAGCTGGGGTGGTGCAGCAGTAACCACTTTGCAATGCTAAACCCACATAGGAAGGTCCTAGGTTCACTTCCCAAGGTTTGCCTGTACATGCTGGGTGCTTGTGTGCACCTGTGTCCAGGATCCGGGCTGGCTGAGGGCAGATCATGGCATGAAGACTCTGTTGGGGAAGCTACTCCCTTACAGAATAAAAAAAAAAGTTTAATTTATTATGATACTATATTGTGGTAACTGTATGTAAAATAAATTGTAAATAAAAACTGTAACTTAAACAATAGAAGTAAAATTAGAATTAGACAGTCAAAGCTACTGCCAATACAAGATAAGGTCTATTATAAGGGTTAAATTGATTCTTAGGAAACAAAGTAAATTTGTAATAGACAAGGCATGAATGAAAGCTGTACCTTCAGAATCAAACCACGTTAATACTTACCCCAACAAGGCTCCAATTACACCACCAGCCACCAGGCCACGCAGACCTAAGTTTATTCTGAATAGACTTCCTGTGACAGCTATTTAAAAAGAAAAAAAAGGCAACATCAAATCATCTTTAAAAACTAGAGTTCCAGGGACCAGCAGTTAGCATAATGGCTATGTTGCTGGACTCCCATGTAGTTGACCACAGTTCGAGTCCCGGACCCGGTGGCTTTAACTCACACCAGGCACATGTGTGTGCGTGCCCAAGATCCCAAGAGGAGAAGGGAGAAGGGATTGCAGCATGGCCATCCCCCCTGGGGGTGATTTGTCACTTTCTGTCTCTCTCCTGTCTTTCTGGTGAGTGTTCATGCGCTATAGCAAAAACCTCTCAAAAAAAAAAAAAACAAAAGAAAACACCTAGAGTTCCAGTTTCAAATTTTCCTTCTATAAAAGACATAACCCCCCTAAGCTTTCTGAACCCAACTCTAACATGCCACTAGAGCCTAGATTTCCTGAATCTAAAATGATAACACAGGTAACTTCCCACCTACTTTGCAGAAACTCCCCTTTTATAAGAAATTCCTGATCAGTTCTGTGGATCCAGCTCTCACTTGGGCTTTACTTTTGCCCATCTGCCCTTCAACGTTAGTAATTTCTTTGCTTCTATCTCTTTTATTTCTTCCTTCTTCAAAGAAAACATTCCCAAAATAGAAAAACTATCTCTAGTACCTGCAGCTGATGCCTTTCCCTGGCCTCGCCCTTTGTCATCTGCTGCCCTTTGTCATCTGCTATGTTGCAACTCAGGCAGTCAGCAGTCGGGTCTACAATGCCACCTGGTGGCCAGTACAGGACTGGACGGTGATGATCATTTTTCTCTTCCACTCTGCACAATGCAATGAAGGCCATCTCAAGGTGGTAACATTTTTTTAAAAATTTAACATTTGTGGTTTATATTTTTTATTTAAGTACTATAAATTCATTTTAAAATTAACAAGGACATGGCTAGCAGGTGGCATGGTGGCTTGAAAATCTAAACTTTAGTCAAAAAAAGTTGTATTAGGTTCCTTTCCCATTAAAATTATGCATGTGCTCTGTTCTATTGCATTTTCTTAGTTTATCTCTTCCAATTCAACAGGCTAAAAATGGTATCTATTTAAGGTGCATTTCTCTAAACAGCAGAGAGAGTCAGCTGTTTCTGCTCCCTGGTTTACAAGTTATCTGTGCTCCTTCTGAATTACAAACTCGTGTTCTTTGTCCCATTTTCAACAGAGAAATCCTTTTTAATATACATACAAGTGCTTTTATCCACTCCTTGCACAGATTATTTTTGGGTTGCTTACATTTAATATCTTTTACAGTTTTTATGACATAAGTAACTTAAACAAGCTTATGCACCAAGTGTGTTAATCATTACTTACTTAATTTTTATGCATAAAATAGCTGCACACACGCACAAATACATATGTATCAGGAGTCTTCAAAAAGTTAATAAAAAACATATTATGAGAAAACTATGCATAGATTTAATTTTTTATCTCACCAAAATAAACTCATACTTTAATTCCATTTTTCTAGGAACTTTCTGACGTCAAAGGGGCTTCACCTATGTCTCTACATTTATTCTTCATAGACTTCTGTTTGAAACCCTTCCATTATTTGAAAACAGTTTTCTTTGCCCCCAGATTCTCTTTTCTAGGTTAAATCCCCTAGCTCCTTTAACCACTGCACAAATGAGATAACTTTTAGGCCCTCTTCACCCTTCTCTAGAGCCTCTGTGTTTGAAAAGTTTCCACAAGCTGCCCCAAGTGCTCTAGATGTGGTCTAACCAGATAAAGTGCATGGAGATCTCTGATGCTCACACGCGTTCCAGACTCTAGACATGGGACTTCGAAACGTTTGTGGAAGCAACGCACAAGTTCATTTTGAGATCCACACAATTTTTTCACAATATGTATTTTCCGTGACTTTATGAAGATCCCTCACATAGCTTCCCACCCAGAAATCAGATGATTTACTTATATTTCTCTCTTTTGTGAATATTTTTTACGTAAGGACTTTAGTGAATCTTACTTTGTTATACTTAGTATAGTTAACAATTTAATTTTCCAAATATAGTAAGTGCTCCAGCCTGTGAACTGTTGATTCTTTCCCAATCTAAAATATCTGGGAACCAGCAGTTAGCGTAATGGCTATGTCGCTGGACTCCCACGTAGTTGACCGCGGTTCGTGTCCCAGACCCGGTAGCTTGAAACTCACGCCGGGCATGTGTGCATGTGTGCCCAAGATCCTGAGAGGAGAATGGAGGAGAAGGGATTGTGGTGTGACCATCCCCTCTGGGAGGTGATTTCTCGCTTTCTGTCTCTATGTCTCTCTCTGTCTGTCTGGCGAGCGCACGTGCCCTATAGCGAAAATCTCTCCAAAAAAAAAAGAAAAAATATCATACTCTAGATATGTGTGTGCTTAGTTTTGTTCCTGACCTATGAATTCTATCCTACAGATCTATCAGTGCCCCACTGTTCTGCTTACTGTAATTTCACATGTTTTAGTTTCTGATAGTTGTAAAGTCCTATACTATTCTTTTAAATTTAATTTTGAACACAAGACACAGAGTGAGAGGGGCCACCCCAACAGGACCCTTACTGCGAACCATTCCTCTCAGCAGGCAGGGATCACATGTGCCCAGAGTCCCAGGGAGGTCCTGGGACATGGATCCAGAACATTTCCCATTTGGGTCCAGTTGGTATCATCACTGTTTCTCTGTCTGGCTTCCCTATGCTTTTTTTTGGCAATGTTCATAGAATCATTATTTTAGATATGCTTTAGACAGGACATCAAGTTCCTTTTTTAACAAATCTGATTTTGATTTTAAGCACTTACAGCTTATAAATTAAACACAATATTAACTTTGTTCATGTCCTTTCTCTATTTAAGTTGTACATTTATTAAGTTTATTCCTTATTACTTTATATTTTCATTACCATTATAAACAAAACTTTTTTTACTTTTCAAATAATCATTATTGGGCTATAAAACGGCCATTATAGCAGATGGCATAATGGCTCTGTCGCTGGACTCCCACGTAGTCGACCATGGTTCGAGTTCTGGATCTGATAGCTTAAACTCATGCCAGGATCCCGAGAGGAGAATGGAGGAGAAGGGATTGTAGCATGGCCATCCCCTCTGGGGAGTGATTTCTCTTTTTGTCTCTCTGTCTCTCTCTGACTTTCTGGCAAGCGCACACGCTCTATAGCAAAAACCTCTCCAAAAAAAGAAGGCTATTATATATTATACTTTACTAGTATTAGTAATATTTTAAGCAAAACTTTTAAATATTGCCTGAAATATAGACAATTTTGTTTCCTTACAGCATTACTTAGGTATTTCTAAGTTTTATTGAGATATAATTTATATACCTCAAAATTCATCTCAATGTACAATTCAAGGATTCTTAGTGAACAACTTTAGTTGCATTTAGTTGTGCAACCATCACCATATTCCAATTTTGGAATATTTCCATCATCATAAAAATATCCCTTGCAGCTGCTCCTTGTATCCGACTCCATGTTAGTCAATCGCTAATTTATTTTCTAGCTCACAATTTACCCATTCTGAAATTTCATGTATACTGATTCATATATTGCTTTTAAAATTTTTATAAATTTTATGTTAGAGGGTGTATGCACTTGCAAGAGAGAGAAAGAGGGACTGAAGACACCCTCCAATGGGCCTGGTCACACTGCACTGCTTCTCCCCATTTCTCCATCCTGTCAGGATTTGGGTCATGCATACACACATGCCCAGCATGATCTTCAAACCACCAGGACCAGCACTCAAACCACTGTCAGCACGAGGGATCCCACTTTCTAAGCACACTGCTTACAATCTGTGCTATAGGGCTGCCACTGAAGTCTTCTGTGTCTGGCTTCTATCACTTAATAATGTTTCTGAGGTTTATTCATGTCACAGCATGCATAAGTATTTTGCTCCTTTTTACTGCTGAAAATATTCTAGTGAATGGACATACCATGCTCTTTATTTATTTATTTATTTAGGTTTTTGTCATAAGGTACACATACTTTTCAGAGCATGATAGCAAGAGAGAAAGTAAGAAATCACCCTTACAGTCCCTTCTGCTCCGTTCTCCTTTTGGGATTTTGGGCATGCACGTGTGCACATGCCTAAAGTAATTTTTAAGCCACCAGGTCCAGGATTCGAACCATGACTGGCCATTTGGGAATGCAGTGTCTTAATCACCACACCATCTGCTGGCCCATCATACTACCTTTTGTTTATCCATTTATTTGCTGATGAATATCTAGGTTGTTTCCAGTTTGGAACTCTTAGGAATCAATGCTTCAAAAATTTACAAGTAGGTCTTTGCATGCTTTCATGTCTCTTAGGCAGATTCTCAGGCATGAAATTTTTGACTTACATGATAAACTATATTTAACTTTTTAAGAAACTACTAAAGTCTATTCTAAAGTGGTTGTACCAATTTACATTCCCACCAGCATGTTGGAAGGATTTGGTTTCACAGCATTTTATTGTCATTTGCTACTGTCTTTTTCAGTATATCTATTCTAGTCTGAAATGCTATCTCACTGAGGTTTTAATTTGATTTCCATAATGGTTAATGATATCGAACATCTTTTCATTTGTTTAATGGCTACTCACACATCTTCTCTGGTGAAATGTCTATTGAAACCTTTTGTCAATTCTTAATTTAGTTATCTGTCTTCTTGTCACTGAGTTATAAAGGTTCTCTATATTCTGTAAGCCAGCAGGTGGCCTGGAAGTTAAGAAGGTTGGATCCCACATGGCTGACTTCATGGTTCAAGTCCTGGACCTGGTGGCTTGAAAATTACGCCAGGTGGGGTCAGCAGGTGGTGTGGTGGTTAAGGCACTGGACTCCTGCATGACTGACCGTGACTTGGGCCCTGACCTAGAGGCTTGCTTTCTCACTTTCTCACTCTCTCTAATAAGTGCACACATGCCCTGAAGCAAATTAAAAAATAATAATAATAATGATAAATAAAATAAATATTTAAAACAATTTTTAAAAAAGAAAGGAAAGAAAAGGAAATTATTCCAGGTGCGTATGTGCTGAAAGTTCCAAGAGAATGGAGAAGAAGGGACTGTGGCATGGTCATCCCCCTGGGGGGTTATTTCTCACTTTCCTTCTCTATAATTCACTTTGTCTCTTTCTCTGGCAAGTGACAAGTGCATACCCTAGAGTAAACAAACAAACAAGAGTTCTCTATATTCTGAATACAAGTCCTTTTTCAGATATATAATTTGTGAATATTTTCTCCTTGTCTGTGGCTTGTCTTTTCATTTTCTTAATTGTGCATTTCTTTTGAAATACAAAATTACACATTTTGATGAAAGTCGAATTTATCATCTTTTTAAAGAACTGAGCTACAGCTATCATATTTACAATAAATCTTTGCCTGACCAAAGTTCACAAAGATTAAAAACTCCAGAGGGCCTATTCAGAGAGAGTCCCAGTACTTTGGGAGTCTATTTCTAGGACTTCTACTACATTGTCACAGTGAAGATCTAAAGAAAACCCCCCTTAGACTCTGTCAAAGGGAGGGAAAAACCAACCATTCTGAAGTACACAAGAGCATTTTATACTAAATGAGGCCTGTCTTCAAGATAAACAATTACGCAAAACCCTGACCTACTGGGTTTTTAAAATTTATTTTTGGAGAGGTTTTTGCTATAGGGTGCACCAGAAAGACAGAGAGTAACAGAGACAAAAAGCAAGAAATCACCCCCAGGGGGCATGGCCAAGCCACAATCCCCTCTCCTCCACTCTCCACTTGGGATCTTGGGCATGCACGCATATGTACCCGGCGTGAGTTAAAGCCACCAGGTCCGGAACCTGAACTGTGGTCGACTACATGGGAGTCCAGCAACATAGCCATTATGCTAACTGCTGGTCTCCCTACTGGGGTTTTATCAGAGGCTAACCCACTGGAACATTCAACTCTAGTCTGCTCTTGCCTTCCATGTGGGAACAGAGAAACACCCAGCTCCAGCCCACTGTAGACATCTGGTCTCACCTCAGGGGAGGAAAAAGTGCTTCTCCCACTGGAAATTAACAGCTCAGAGGCACAGTTGCAGAATATTTTCCCTCTCCCACACCTTATTACATTCCTAAAGACCTATTTATGTGGTTCCTTTGACCCAGTACATCATGTCTGGCTATCAAAACAAAAAAAAAAGAGGAATATTAAAAGGCAAAAACTGTTTGGAGACAGAGCAAGCATCAGAAACAAACTCAGATACGGCAGAGATGTTGGAATTATTGACTGATAATTTAAAACAACTCCAGTGAATATGCTAAGGGCTCTTGAGGTTGCTGTAGTAGAGTATGCTGGCTAATGCTATCACACAACAGGCTGAGGCCACATGGGAGGCTTAGGCTTGACTCCTGGCCCACCCTAAAAAGCCTGGCACCATGGGGCCAGTAGGTAGCATGGTGGTTAAGGGTGCTGGACTTTCACATGGCTGACAGCAGTTTGAGTCCTGGACCTGGCAGCTTGCTTTCTCATTCTCTCTCTCTCTGTTCCCCTCTAGTCAAATATAAACAAACACTCAAACAAATAGAGTTAAATAAAATAATTCTTAAAAAAAAAAAAAAAAAAAAAAAAAAAAACCTAGGCACAGCAGCACATCCCTGTAGTCCCAGCTACCCAGGAGGCTGAGGCAGGAGGATCACCACATAGTAACACTCTGTCTTTAAAAAAAAGTAAGAGGTCTAATGGACAAAGTAGACAGTATATAAGAACAGATGAGCAAGTCCAGCAGGTGGCATGGTGGTTACAGCACTGGAGTCCCAGATGGCTGTGTTCTGAGTCCTGGCCCCGGCAGCTTGAAAATCACAACAAATAAATAGATAAATAAATGAATAAATGTTAAAAAAAAAAACAAATAAATAAACAAACAAAAATAGATGGGCAATATAAATAGAGATAAAAATTCCAGAAAAGCATTGTGAGAGATCAAAAACCCTGTAACAGAAATGCTGGATGTCTTCATTGGGATCATTGGTTAGACCGGACATAGCTGAGGTATGAATCTATGAGCTTAAAGAAACAAAACTTCCAAAACAGAAAATGGAAGAGAAAACAGAAGAACAAAGAGCAGAACAAAATATCTAAGAACTGTGGGACGACTATAAAAGATATACCATACATAAAACTGGAATACCAGAAGGAAAAAAAAAAAGAGAGAGAGAAGGAAACAGAAGAAATGTTTGAAACAACAATGACATAATTTTCCCAAATTAATATCAGACAACAAAACACAGATCCAGGAAACTCAGAAAACATCATGTAGGATAGATATCAGCCCCACCCTGCCCATCTTCTACCAAGGAACATTATTTTCAAACTGCAGCAAATCAAAGATAAAAACAAAAATTGGGCCAACTGGTGGCAGAATAGCTGGGGTGGCTGGATCCCACATGGCCAGCGGTGTGGTTTGAGTCTAGAACCGGTGGTTTGGGGAATATTCCAGGAGTGGGGATGTGAATGTCAAAAATCGCAAAGGGAGAATAGAGAAGGGACTCTGGCATAGCCATCCCCAAAAAGTGCTTCCTCACTTTCCCTCTTTATCTCTCTCCAGTGAACGCACATACCCCATAGTAAACCTACCTAACTAAACAGGAAAAAAAAAATCTTGAAAAAATTTGGGACCAGCAGTTAGTGTAATGGCTATGTTGCTGGACTCCCATGTAGTCGACCGCAGTTCGAGTCCCGGACCCGGTGACTTAAACTAGCGCCAGCTGCGTGTGTGTGCGTGCCCAAGATCCCAAGAGGAGAATGGAGGAGAAGGGATTGTGGCGTGGCCATCCCCCCGGGGGGTGATTTCTCGCTTTCTATCTCTCTGTCTGTCTCTGTCTGTCTGGCGAGTGCACGTGCCCTATAGCAAAAACCTCTTCAAAAAAAAAAAGTTAAAGGGAAACAAAAGCAGCTTATCCACCGATGAAAAAAGAATTGCATCGGACTTTTCAGAAACCACACAAGCGAACAGAAAGTAGACTGAAACACTTAAGTGTTGAGAGACAGAGAAAGAGAAAAAACTTAATAGTACTTAATTCGCTCATATTTAATGTTATTACTGATATAACTAGATTTACATCTGCCATTTTGTCATTTTCTTTTCTTTTTATTTGAGAGTTTTTGTTTTGTTTTGTTTTGTTTAATTTGTTTGTTTTCTTGGCTATAGGGCAAGTGTGCTCACTAGAGAGAAAGAGAGATAGAAAAAGAGTAATCAATCCCCCACAGAAGATGGCCACACCATAATCCCTTCTCCTCCATTGTCCTCTTGGGATCTTGGGCATGCACGCACATGCGCCTGGCATGAGCTTAAAGCCATCAGGTCCAGGACTCAAACCACGGTCAACTACATGGGAGTCCAGCGAAGTAACCGTTAGGCATCTGCTGGTCCCTCTTTTTTTAAAAAACAAAAAAACAAAAACAAAAAAACTGCTAGAGGGTGTGTGCCCGAGAGAGAGAGAGAGAGAAAACACATCAACAGAGCATGGTCATGCTGTAATCCCTTCTCCTCCATTTCTCCATCCTCTACTGTGTGAGCCATAATAACCTGCTTGAGGAAATGTCCTGCCTTAGTGACTTTCATCATGGTATCGCTCTCCGTAGGCCCCTCCTCTTGGCAAGGCTTGTTTCTTCCCATTCTTCAGGTATCAGCTTCACTCTCGCTTCCTCAGAAAGGCCTTCTCTCACCACCCTGTCCAAGTCAGATCCCACTACCCCGTATATTTGTTACTTCCCGTTACAGCGACCTGCTATTCCCCATCAACATTAGACTTTAAAAATTCGGTAAAAGCAAGGACTTGTCTGCTTTGTTCACTAAGTATGGGAAGAGCCAGGTATAATGCTGTCCACATATACATTTACTGTATAAAGTGTTGAATGAGATATGATCAGAAGCCATCCAATGAATAAAGTAGTTTTGATTTACAAGTCCTTACATATTTTCTAAACCATATTTGAGAAAATTGAGAGATAAACAAGAACAAAACGTCTTACCTCCTGCAATGACAAAATGGCTTAGAGCGTTTTTATTTCGGTACACATTTAGACCAGTGTTCACTGTGCTGGGAAGAAGGGAGAAGGAAAATGTAAGATCGAAGACAAATCCCATTTACCTTCCTGACTACTATTTTCACTAAGGTGAGAGGTTTAGAGGAGCCTATTATATCAATCCCTGGTCCTAGTCTAGGTACCCCTTCGACACGTTTCAGACTGCTCATGTGCCTAGAACCAAAGAATAACCAAAAATGAACCAAAGAATAACCAAATTTCTAGAATAAGTATTTGCTTAGAAACAGGCATACCAGGACCAGCAGTTACTGTAATGGCTATGTCGCTGGACTCCCATGTAGTCGACCACAGCTCCAGACCTGGTGGCTTAAACTCACGTCAGGGGCGTGTGCATGCATGCCCAAGATCCCAAGAGGAGAATGGAGGAGAAGGAATTGTGCCGTGGCCATCCCCCCTGGGAGGTGATTTCTCGCTTTCTGTCTCTCTGTCTTTCTGGCAAGCGCACACACCCAATAGCAAAAAACCCTAAAAAAAAAAAAAAAAAAAAAAGGCAATATACTGGGACCTGCAGGTGGGTTGGTAGTTTGGCATTGAATACTTCCACATGGTCAACCATGGTTCAAGTCCCAGACCTGCTGGCTTGCATTCTCACTTCTCTCCGGTCAAATTAAGATAAATGAATAAATAAAACTAAATAAATAATTCTTAAAAAAAAGAAATATAGAGTTTTGCAGAATTTCTATTTCTTAAAACCTTGTCTCTATTGATTTTAGTTGGGAAACTTCCATCATGGATGAAAAACACACTGGACACTTGTGAATGTGTATTTCAGATCCAAAAAGGATGGAGAAATGGAGGAGAGGGGATTGCAGCATGACCATACCCAATTAGGGGTGCTTTCTCCCTCTTCCCATCTCTCTTTGGTGAGCACAGATACCCTCTGGCAAACTAAAAATAAAAAGAAAACAAAAGCTACAATTGAACCAGTCTTTTACATAGATGGACAAAAGTTCTTAAGGTAAAGGCATTATTCATCACTTTTGTGAGTGTTGTTTTTAGAATACCACATGCTCAAAAGATGTATTCCAAAAGACTGTCAAGCCCTCTCTTAGGGCTGGCTCAGAGTCATGGAGGTTATAAGGTCTGCATGGGGAGCCAGCTCCCCACATGGACAACTGTAGTTTTGAATCCCAGCAATGGTGGCTTGAAAAAAATGCCAGTGGGACCAGCAGATGGTGTAGTGATTACATCGCTGAACTCCTACATGGCCGATCATAGTTCAAGTCATGGAACTGGTGGCTTGAAAATCGTGCCAGGTGCATGTGTGTGCATGTGTGCCCAAGAGACTGGGAGGACAAGAGACTGTGATGTGGCCATCCCTCCCAGGGGATGATTTCTCACTTTCCCTCTCACTGTCTCTCTCTCCAACAAGTGCCTATACCCTAAGGCAAAAACCACTCTAACCAAAAAAAAAAAAAAAAATGCCCAGTGCACATGTGTGTAAAATCTTGACAGGTGAGAGAAATGGAGGAAAAATCACTGCAGTGTGATCATACCACACTGGGGAATACTTTCCCTATTTGGTGAGCACATGTACCCTCTTACAATTTAGAGAGAACTTACTTGAATATAGTCACAAACACTGTAGTTCTCCAACTCCAACGCCAGCCGTACCGAATGAAGCCTCGTGTGGCAGCACGATGTGCAGATTGCTAAAGTTAATAAAAAAGCTGTGAGGCTCCGAGATATCTTGATGCTTCTCTTATTCTAAGACAGTGTTAAAGGAATGTCAGCTACAGATTAGTCAGGTACACTTAGACAGACAGGAACAAAAGAAAATAACTAGAAATGTAATTCTTTTTGTTGTTGTTGTTGGGAGAGGTTTTTACTATAGGGCGCGTGCGCTCGCCAGACAGACACAGACAGAGAGACAGAAAGCGAGAAATCACCCCCCGGGGGGATGGTCACGCCGCAATCACTTCTCCATTCTCCTCTCGGGATCTTGGGCACGCACGCACACGCTCCTGGCGTGAGTTTTAAGTCACTGGGTCTGGAATGCGAACCGCGGTTGACTACATGGGAGTCCAGCGACATAGCCATTACGCTAACTGCTGGTTCCCTAGAAATGTAATTCTTTAAGGGTTGAGGCTTGAGCAAGAGTCCATGGGCATCCTATTCTATCAGGAGATGGAAAAGGAACTAAGAATTGCCAGTCTCAACCAAGCAATCCATAAATTACGTGTACAGTGAAAAGCAACAGAGGGACTTCAAAAAGCTCATGGAAAAGGAAATTAAAATACAAGTTTATTTTTATATAAAAGTCTAAAAATCTATGTGTAGTTTTTTTCGCAGTTTATGTGAACTTTCTGAAGACCTCTTGTATGTGGCAACTACTACGACAGATGTAAAACCAGTACTAGATATGCTTTTCGTATTCGAGAAAGCTTAGGGGAAAGAAAAAGTGGGCCAGCCAGTTGCACGGTGGTTAAGGTGGCTGGAACCCACATGGCTGACTGAGCTGTTTGAATCCTGGACCAGGTAATATGAAAACCACACTGGGCGCATGTGTGTGCCTAAGATCTTGAAAGGACAATGGGGAAGAGATTGCGGCATGGCCATCCCCTGCAAAAACAGGCAGTATCCTCTCACTTTCTCTCTGGGTCTTTCTGTCCAGCAAGTGCACATGCCCTCTAGTAAATTAAATTTAAAAAAAAGAAAAGCACAACAGAGTAAATACTACAGGGCATGAATTAAAGTAATACAGATGGGACCAACAGGTGGTGTATGGTTAAGTGGCTGGACTCTCACATGGCCAACAGTAGTTCAAGTCCCAGACCTGGTGGCTTGAAAATCACACCAGATGCATGTGCATGCGTGCCCAAAATCCTGAGAGAAGAATGGAAGAAAAGGGATTGCAACATGGTTATCCCCTCGGGGGGTGATTTCTCACTTTCCCTTTCTCTGTCTCTCCAACAAGTGTATGCACCCCAGGGCAAAAATCTAAAAAGAAAAATAAATTAAATAAGTAAATGTAGATATATAGGAAAAGAACAGAGGAAGAAAAAAAGAGTATTTACTGACCATCCTCTCTGTAAAAATGTGTTAACACTTTTTAATTACTTACCTCGTTCAATCTATCACATTATCTTTAAGAGAGTGTTTTAGTTTTAACGAAAGCTTAGGAAGAAGATTATAGCTAGTATCACTAGTCCAAAAGGAGTGAAGAAAGAACTGGAAGATGCGTTTTCTGTCCCCACCGTCCATTTTCACCATGGAGCAATTCTGGTAGAACAACAAAAGTAACGTCTAGATTTTTAAAGAAAGCCTGAGAGACTTCCTAAGTAGATCTTAACTACTGCGTGATCTTAGGCAAGTCAAAACTTCTGAGCAGTATTAGTATAAATTCGTGGATTTTAATGGGTAAAGAGAGACTGACACAGGCATGTACATAAATCACATTTCTTTACTCTGTCTGCTCAGGGCCTAGACGCAATGACACCCTGGTTGTAGTGAGCTTACACCCAGACCTTGCTTTCTAAATATCTTTCTCCATTAAAAGAAACTAGCTCCTTGGAAAAATGGCCAATTCCAGGGCTGGCATTGGAAACGTAAGAGATGAACCAGGACTATTCTGCTGTGCCAAAAAGTAAAGGCATTCTGTATGAAGAGGACAAAGAACTAGTGAGAAGGACTCCAGAGAAGGCCTCCAACTGCCCAAATCTAGGTCAACTGATATAAGTGAGTTAGAACTCTAACACTATGAAGTTACAAATGTGAATTATTGCTTTAGTATAAGCTGGTATACTCTCGGAGGCTTTATGAATGAGGTTAATATGTTATAGCAGAGCCTTGATGATTTAGCAGGGGATCAGAAATGTACTTCAGAAAGAAGATCCAGGCCAGCAGGTGGCGTGGTGGTTAAGGGCACTGGACTCCCACATGGCTAACCACGGTTCGAGTCCCGAACCTGGTGGCTTGCGTTCTCACTTTCTCTTTCTTACACACTCTTACTCTGTCCCTGTCTGATCAAACTAAAATAAATAAATAAATAAATAAGTTAAATAAAATAATTCTGGGGGGGGGGAGCCATAGTGGAGATCCTAAACATGCCAATTTTGAAAGTAAGAAAAGTGGTCTAACATGTCATGTGCAGGCACTGGGGTGTAAGTACATCCACTGTGAAGTACAGATATTTTTCCTTACTCTGACATCCCAAATCCCCCTAGCCCGGGACCTAACTGAATGACTAAGTGTAAAGTGAATTGCCAAGCTGGTGTGCCCCCAATACTATCAGGATACCAGTACATACCACAGCATCAAACCGGTTATGATACATTTCTGCTTGGCTCTGCTCAATGTAGCGTTGTTTAGCATGAATAAAAGCTGGTATTCCCCCATAGGCCCAGCCAATGATGCCTGCTGAAACTGCCGCCCTGTAGATATTCTGGAGTTCCTTTGAAGTTCTCTGCTGTTCACTAAAACAAAAAGGCCATGTTGTTTGGGATTAGCTGAGGGACACTGCTCCCCAAATGACACAATTATCAGAATAACGCCAAATGCTAACACCACATTTTCCATTATGGGTAGATGTGATTAAATGCTGTGATGTATCAAACAATGCAGTTATATTAAAAATAGCCTGAACTTCAGGGAAAACTAATCTATGCTGTTAAATGGTCCAGGTGGTGCCACAGGGCCAATCACAGGTTTGGATCCCTGGGAAACCATCTCAGCAACTTTTAACTACTGGAAAACACAGTGTAGTATGGTAATAACTCCATGAAAGGGAACACTTTTCACCGGTCACTAATAAAATAAAGAAATGAATGAATGAAATATTCTGAATTCTTACTAGATGAAATTAATTAAGTTATAAGGGTTATCATTTATTCTGAAATGTCTTTTAATTTTAAAACCCAGCTAATATTGCTTCTATAAAATGAGACAATCGCTAATTCCATATTTGGCAAAATTAAAAATTGACAATTCTCTCTACCCCTCTGCAATATCCATTTCTTTTTTTTGGCGAGGGAATGAAATCAGTAGTGAAATACCAAATTTGGGATCAACTGAAATAGGAAAAAGAACACTGGAGTGGACGCCTGCAGACATGGGTTCCAGGGCCAATTCTGTCACTATCTGGTTTGGCCCAACTCTTCTTATTTGTAAGTCAGGAGACTGATTACATGAAAACTATTATATATTTCCTACATACTTCTAAGAGCTCTTTCAATGAGTCTGAACCATTTAAAACTCCCTCAACCAACAGAACTCCAAATGGCAATGTTAGAATACAAACTTGTGGTGGGGGGGGGAGCAGGTGGCGTGGTGGTTAAGGGGCTGGACACTCCCACATGGCTGACTATGTTTCAAATCCTGAACCTGGTGGCTTGCTTTCTCACTTTCCCTCTCTCTGGTCAAATTAAAAATAAATAAATGAATAAATTTTAAAAAGAATACAAACGTGTGCATCGCAGTTCCCCGTCTCCCACCCCAACCTTAGGGACTTTTACTCTTTGACAAACAGCTCCCGGAGACGGTCCCATCCGGATTCCGGGTAATAGGGATTTGGGACGTAGGCAGGCAGCTTCTGATCCTCTGCAAGGGCCTCCGAATCAGCAGCAAGGACTCGGGGGAAAGGACTCAGTGCCCTGCAGAGGAAGCTCCGTGACGCTGGCGGCGGCACCTCCATACTGCTCCTCTCCCCTGCCGACACCTGGGCGCTCAGGCCCGCGAGGCCGGCTGCAGGCCTCGCGGGACAGGGCGAGGATAACTGCGCGAACGAGGGAGCCAGTAACCGCGAACTATGCTAGCGCTAATCCGCGGGCCGACCTGAGCCCCAGGACTCCATGTCCCTACCCAAACCCAGGGTCTTCCTCTGGAAGCCCTCGGAAACACGAGACAGGAAGTCCCGCCCCTTAGGGGTAAAGGACAGAGGGCGGGGCGGCGGCAGAGCCCGACCCGAAAACACTTCCGGCTGGAGGCAGGACCGGCCTCTGCATTGCCAGGCCGGCTCCCCGGAAGTGAGTTGGCTCTGAGTATCTCTAGCACACCCTTTGTCACATCTGTGCTTGAGAAGGGCACAGGCTTTAGTAATTTAGTGTATTTAAAATGCGAGAAGTCACAGAAATGAAAAAAGAAAATGGAAAGTGAAAACGTTCACTTTCTGTCCCCCGCCTCCGCATCCCTCCAGTTTGTCTGGGCTACATTCGAACCCTGTGGGTTCTGGTTTCCGGAAGTTCCAAGGCCCTGGGGATGGGTCTTCCGTGCTGGTTCTGCGAGAACGCCGAGCACTTCTGAAGAATGAGCTTTGCCGCAGCCATCACAAGGTGGATTTCACATCCCTTAGCTCATATGCTGCTGTTTCTTAGAAGACAGGGCGCTTTATGGAGTTGTGCCAGATGTTTGGTTGGTTGATAGTCCAGCAATAATTTCCTATTACTGCAGCCTCTGCTAACGTGTTTCCAGGTATAGTTGTCAAAGTGCCGGCATTTATTTTGAGTATTCTCAGGTTGGTTTGTGGAATGTCATTTAATCCTTGCGAGTTACCATTCTCATTCTTTTTTTTTTGGCCACTCCTTTTCTAGTTGTAATTCAGAACTGCTACACTCTTTAGTAGACTACAGTAAATAGAATTCTGGAATTTAATAGCTAGAAACCATAGATGAGGCCCGAAGAAGTGACTGACAGCCCCACAGATGTCTCTGAAAGATAAGAGTAGGTTCATAGCAATGGTTATGTTGTGTAATGTCCTATTTCTTGATGTCTCAGTGGATTAACTTTAGGGTCAGAGACTACATACACTCATCTTGTATCCCCAGGACCTAGCATAGTGTCTGGCATGTCAGGACCCCTCCCTCATGGCAGTATGCTGCTGCATATCTCAGTAGATAGGTGTGGGTACCAGGATAAAACCCCAAAGCCTGAAAGTCCAACAAAGTGGCTGTGCAGTCTGTCTAGCCAACATGTAGGAAACCTTAGATGCTTAAATAACCCCAGAGTCATTGTGGGATGAGGGAGAACTTGAAATGGGAAGAAGGGGTTGGGTGGGAGGAACAGATAATAACGAATCACTTGGGAACAGCAGGTGGCATGGTGGCCAAGGCACTGGACACACCCACGTGGCTGACCACGGTTGAGGTCACAGACCTGGTGGCTTGCTTTCTCACTGTCTCCTCTGGTCAAATTAAAGTAAAATGAATAAATAAAGTTAAATAAATATTTACCCCCAAAAAAATCACTTATATACAGCTGAAATTTCTCCAGGATCTACTAGCCTGCAGTAGAAATGAGGTCATTATTAACAGGCAACTTCTATTAACGCCCACCTGCTTTCTCCTTTGAGTAGTAAGACTCCTTTGTAAGGTTTCCTTTGCCACCTAGTACCTCAAGAAAAGACCAGTCCCGACTGCTCATGCTGTTGCTGCAATTATATGTCAGCTTTCTCAAACTATCTGTCACCTTTCCATATTTCCTACTTGTCCAAACTCTCAGGACTTACCTTCTTCTACCATTCAGGGAAACACTCTCCCTCCTCTAAGCCATAACGTGGTTATGGGATTTAGCTGGAGTACTGTTTCACGTGTAGCTCTTGCATCCTCAGACCTGTACTTCCCAGCAGAATTAACTGCCTCAGGGCAGAATTTCAGTCATCACCACATGGGCCTGGAACCACCATCCTCCCACGCTGAGCCCTTGCTGCTGAGATCTGCTCTCGTAGGACCCAAAGGCTTCTTCCCCCAAAGAGAATTTTCTCTCAGGGGTCAGTATTTTCTCTCCCAGGTTCACCAAATACTGACTTTACTAAATATCTTATGTAGTATAATATAGTTGTAATATATAACAGAATATTAGTTGTATTATGTATGATATAAACTGCTTCCACAGGTAGAGACAATGAATTTTGAAACTTCCAAGGACCACTTCATTTACCTGTCCTTTCTCCACAGTCTTCCATCTGTCCCCGCTAGGTGTTTCTTTCTTTCCTCGAAACTCCAAATCCATTGTCCTTAGGAATGACGGGTGTTCATATTGCCTGAATCACCTTCTGCCCATGCTGCCACGCACACTGTCTCTTATTGTATCAACCGAGAGCCCCCCTCCCCCAGGGCAGAGGTCTTGTGTCAAAAGTTTCCTTATTTCCTGTTTGTGTACAGCAGATACTCAAGAAATACTTGCTAAAGATTGATGGGTCATTTCTTATATCCCTCTTTCCTATCCACACTACATAACCTCTGGAAGCTGCAAGATTTCCCTAAGAGAAGACATCTTCCTTTAGATACATGTGAAGACAGGTTTCTGTGTATTTATGTGTGCTCTTGTTTGTAGTCCATCTAGGGGTAAAATATAAGAACTCTTTGGAACTGACCCAAATGAAGGGGTTACATTTTTTTCTCTTGGAACTGTTAGGCTGAACGATAGAACCTGGTAGTCTACCCTTCCAACCTCTATGAAATTTGTTTACATTCTCTAGGATACCTTCATGTCATTTCTAGAAAGTTCTTTTGCGGGACCAGCAGTTGGTGTAATGGCTATGTCGCTGGACTCCCATGTAATTGACCACAGTTCCAGTCCCGGATCAAGTGGCTTAAATTCACACTGGGCTTGTGTGTGTGTGTGCCCAAGATCCCGAGAGGAGAATGGAGGAGAAGGGATTGTGGCGTGCCCATCCCCTCTTGAGGGGTGATTTCTGGCTTTCTGTTTCTCTGTCTCTGTCTTTCTGGTGAGCGTACGCACCCTAAAGCAAAAATCTCTCCAATAAAAAAAATGAGTAAATCAAAAAACAAAACAACAAAACTATAGGCAGTATCTGTTTTTTTTTTTTTTTTTGGAGAGGTTTTCGCTATAGGGCGTGTGTGCTCGCCAGACAGACAGAGAGAGACATAGAGACAGAAAGCGAGAAATCACCCCTCAGGGGGGATGGTCACGCCACAATCCCTTCTCCTCCATTCTCCTCTTGGGATCTTGGGCACGCACACACACGCGCCCGGCGTGAGTTTTAAGCCTCTGAGTCCGGGATGCAAACCGTGGTCGACTACGTGGGAGTCCAGCTACATAGCCATTACGCTAACTGCTGGTTCCCGGCAGTATCTGTTCTTGACAATTGGGGAAATCTGACATGATTCAGTAGAATAACGTGGGACACTGATATCACACAGATGATACTGCCAAAACAAAGAAAGGAGAAGCATTACTTCTATTATTTAAATATTCTGCTTCATTCAAATAAATTATTTTTTTTCCTTAAAGAAAAGTATGGCCATTAGCGTTTTGAGAAGGAAATGGAGAGGTTAGGATTGCACTCGTATTAATGACAACAAAAACCTTCAAAAGTTGTGGGAATACAAATTGTTTTCAAAAACATAACATTTTACATACTATTACACACCATCTTCATTCCATTGACACTGAGGTAAACAGATAAACAAGTATAAAACCTGAATACATTTACTGGATTTAAAGACAAAGATTCCCTTATTAACTCTTCACAATACAGGTAAGTATTTGCATAGATCCAGTTCGGACAGCCTTATTCAATTCCCCTTGAAGCTATTGGCGAGTCAATCTGTAAACAGGATGGAGTTAAGTCCAGTGTCTCTATTTACCCATCCACTCACAGTCCTTCAGTATTTCCTCATGTGTGGTACTGTGCTGGACAGTGGAGACACCAATAGGAGTAAAACATGATTCCTGTTCATAAATAAACGCAGAGCAGTAGGTGAAACAGCCAAGTAGCCACAGTGCAGTGTGATGCCATGTAACACCAGCATGAGCAAAGTTACGGTAGCTCCTACCTGCCTCAAGGAAAGAAAAGACTTGGAGAGAAAGTGATGTCTGAGCTACAACTTGAAACAAAACGGGAAACATTCCCAGGAAAATGAAGCCTCAGCTCCTAATCTAATGGACAGCAAATTGTGTTCCTATTTTAGTGAGAAGAAAAAGAGAGTAATAAATGCAGAGTTGATATGTAGACAAAGCAAGGGTTAATAAAGAGGGTCCAAGGTGAGCCTAACGTAAGGACAAAAGCAAACGTGTTCAGGTTAAGGGCCCAGGAATAAGACCCTGAGATCAACTTTTACAACAGAGAAAACAGGTTCTGGACCCGTTCTGGTGCCACCTCCAGCAGTCACCTGTGGCTGATGCTCTGCGTTCCTGACAAATGACTAGCCACCCACCCAAATTCAGACCAAAGCTTTCAGAGTCTATCCATACCCTCCCTTACAACTGAGACTGTAAGAAGTAGACCCTTCCCACCAAAAGGCACGAGCCTGTGAACCCGCTAGAGTCTCAGGGTGTTCTTGCCAGAGCTCAATGACAAACATAATAAACATGCTTATGTTCACGTTTCTCTCTGGTAAATTCTTTTAGCACCTGCACACTGGCCCTACTGTCCCACTACACAACTGCAGTTATATTAGTAGATCCTCATAGTGACAAAAACCACAGTACTACTCATAAATCTGGACTGCCTGTCACTAGACTACAGCACCTAAGGACACAGTCCCTGTGAATAGCTAGTACTCAAAAAACAAATATACCTCCTTTGTCCATGCAATGATCTTCTCATGAATGTTCAGCTCCTCTAAGAAAGTCCTTGGGAAAAAAAAAGGGGGTCAGCAGGTGGTGTGATAGTTAAGGTGCTGGACACTCCCACATGACCAACCACGGTTCGAGTCCTGGACCTGGGATCTTGCTTTCTCACTTTCCCTTTTTTTCTCTGTGTGTTTCTCTATGGTCAAATTGAAAATAAATAAGTAAAAATACATATATTAAAAAAAAAAAGTCAGTGGTCTGACTTATCTTTTGAAAAAAAGTCCTTGGAGTTAAAATTTTGTAGGACTGGCTTCACAGCCTGGTGGTTAAGGGAGCAGAATCCAATTCCCAACTCAGCAGCTTAAAAACATGCCAGGTGCCTGTGTGTGCATCCCAAAATACTGACAGGATGGAGAATTGGAGAAGAGATTGTAGTACAACTACACCCCATTGGGAGATGCTTTCTTCCTCTCCTTATTTCTCCCTGCTGAATGCACATGCGTTATGGCAACTTAAAAAAAAAATTTTTTTTGGAAGGAAGCTAAAAAAGCCAGATACCAAATATATGTCTCACAAGTGAAATAAAATCTCTGATTTCATGTGACTGAGTCCCACACCTATTAATTTTGAAACCATTCTACACCAAAGAGTTCTAAAGAGGCAAAGGAAGAGAGTTGATTTCTCTGCAGAGAGGTTGGCCTAAGAGACAAAGAGGTTCTAAGTCATCAGACCACAGGGTTTCAATCTAAACTGTTTTCATTTTTGACTAGGTAGGGAGAATACCCTGAGAGATTAAACTACTACCCGAGTGTCTTTTTCAAAAAGGGAACAAAGACAAGACAGGATCCAATATGGATTTGTGCTAAGACAGATATCTCCTCTATAATTAAGTATTCAAGTTGAATGCCCTAAACTACCAACTTAGCGACATGTCCAAGGCTGGCTCTGTGGCAGTTACGCACTGTGCATCAGAAGCCATGACTGACTACGGTCTGAATTCTGTCCCTGAAGGCTTGAAAAATATGTGTGTGCATGTGTGCACCCAAAATCCTGATGGGAAAGAGAAATGGAGGAAATAGGGTTGCAGCAGGACCATGTCTTGTTGGTGGGATGCTTTTTCTCTGGTGAACACATGTGTATTCTGACCATTACAGACAAATTACTAATATGTTCACAAATGAAGATTCCTTGTGGTCCCTGTGAGACACGGAGAACATGGATGATGCCTGCTGCTGCGAATTTAAGGAAAAACATTAAAGATGTGCAAAGGGTAAGGAAGAGTTGCTGTTTCATGCACAGTTTCTTTCTTTTTCTTTTTTTTTTAAAAGCGTTGTTCTCTAAATGTATTAAGAGGTTTTTGTCTTTTTTTTTTTCCCCTTTACAAAGACAAAAAGAAGGGCATAAAGGCACGAAAGGGGAAGATGAACTCTAATTGCAGTAATTACTTCTACAACTGGCCCCTATCTAGGTGGCATTATAGAAGCCTCCTGAGTATTGAAGTTTACACTTTTATAAAACAGAATTTTTACATCATCACATGGCACAGCCAATGCTTCCTTAGACCCTCCAGGACATGATATCCAAGTATTTTTCGCAAACCTTAAAGTTTTCCACATTAAAATAAAGCAACCGAAATCAAGCCTAGAGTAACTTCAGAACTGCAGTGATAAGTTGTACAAGTTCCAAATGATGAATTTTCTGCTCCACGTAATGGGACAAAGAGCATCGTCACATAAACAGAATCAATTTCACGGTGATGGACGTAATGCATGTGGATGGTCAGAGGCACATGCTGTGATCGGTCCTCAGAAATGAAAGGTAGAACCGAGTCCCAAATCCATTATCTCATGGTTCCTAGTCCTTCTTCAGCCAGAGTTGAGTTGCTTCATCTCCGTGTATTAGACACATTTTGGCTCTTTCTCAAGAGTTGCTCTGGGTGCAGCATGAAAAGGAAAACCAGATATTTGGCTTGATACAAGATAGTCAGGTGATGCCACGCTTATGGTAAGCGTGATATCTGAGATCTGTGGCCATAGGGAAGACCATGGTCCCTGTGATGACAACTAGAGTTCAGTTTTCAAAATTTTGGGAGTGATCTGATCATAGCCCTTCCTTCTCGTCACATTGTAAGACAGGAATTTAGAGTATTCCGTCAAGAGGCTCTCCCAGTAACAGGTGATATCATCCATCTGCAAGTGATTCATAATAAACTGGCTTCCCCTACAGACAAGATTAACAACATTATTTTAAAGCACAGAATTTAAAAATAATAATAATGTCCTACATTTGAGTGGCTAAACACTATTTAGAGCACTTTACATATTTTAGCTCGTTTAATCCTCAGAACCAACCCTAGAGTCATGATTCCACAGACATGCACTTAACAACAGAACTTAACATTTACTTCCATAAAAACAAATATAAACAGTCAACGCTTACCGAAAGTACTTGTTTATCTTAAAGATTTCAGTTTACTTCTATAAAGCTTGCAAATGTGTGTGCATGTGTTTTTTCTCTAGGACAGTTTTAATTCTGAATTATCTCTGTTTAATGAGGATGAGATTATAGATATTGCCATGGCAACAATGTTCAGATAACTTTTGCTAAGGCAAAAGAGGGATGATAAAGTAAAATGGAAAAGGGAAAATGAACAGAACTTACCTTTCAGCGATTTCTCGAGCTACATCATCATTTGCTTTTACAAACTGCAACAGTTCCCTAAAATGAAAAGAATTATTAGACTCTAAAATGTAGACCAAAATCATTAGTACCAAGTTAGAAAGACTATAGACTGAAATCTGTGGTTGGTCTCTAGACATGTGTACCATATGGATCATTTCCTAAAAGCAATAATAACAAGATCCTCACAGGAACAAAATAAGGCTATACACAGGTTATAAAGGTGGCTTATTGTAGATTCTGGACGGGCTTGTGAAAATAAAAAAAGACTCAATAATACACATAAAAAAATCAAGAGTGGGGACCAGCAGTTAGCGTAATGGCTATGTCACTAGACTCCCATGTAGTTGACCACGGTTCGAATCTCAGACCTGGTGGCTTAAACTCACACTGGGCGTGTGAGTACGTACTCAAGATCCCGAGAGGAGAATGGAGGAGAAGAGATTGTGGCGTGGCCATACCCTCTGGGGGGTGATCTCTCACTTTTTGTCTCTCTGTCTTTCTTTTTTTGGGGGAGAGGTTTTTTGCTATAGGGCGCGTGCGCTCGCCAGACAGACAGAGAGAGACAGAGAGACAGAAAGCGAGAAATCACCCCCCAGGGGGGATGGTCACGCCGCAATCCCTTCTCCTCCATCCTCCTCTCGGGATCTTGGGCACGCATGCACACGCGCCCAGCGTGAGTTTTAAGCCACTGGGTCCGGGACATGAACCACGATCGACTACGTGGGAGTCCAGTGACATAGCCATTACGCTAACTGCTGGTTCCCTGTCTCTGTCTTTCTGGTGAGCGCGTGCGCCCTATGGCAAAAACCTCTCCTAAATAAATAAATAAATAAAAATTAAGAGTGGAAAAAAATTTCCATCCTGTCTTTAAACTCTGGTTTCAGTCCCCAGAAGAAGGGAACTGGGCTCACACTTCAGGCCCCTCTCCATTCCTCTTTCTAGCTCCTCCCATCATGAGGGGAAACTGACCTAAGCTTCACTAGGATTGATTCCCATGCTGTGCCTGACACTTCCTTTGACAATGTAACAAGACAGACTATCTTGGGTCAGCTCTGTGGCACTTTGGTGATGCACTGCTCAGGAAAAATCAGAACCCATATCTAAACCAAGGTTCCAGTTCCTGGTCTGGTCAGTCTGAAGCATTCTGGGTACATGTGTGAATGCCCAAGATCTAATGGGCTGGAGGAAGGGGAGAGCATGGTGTGACTAGACCCTGTGGAGGATGGTCATCTCTCTCATGTGCATATGAGCTCACTCTGATGAATACAGAAACATAAAAATTTTTAAAGTATTGAATATCCCTATCTTTGGTCTTTAAGAAATTAGTTTCTTTTTCAATGCATACTGTCTAAATGTTACATTTGAAACCAGCATTAAAACACTTTTTCAAATTAAATTCCAATTACAGTCTACTTGCATAATAATGCAACAATATATAGCAAACCAAGTAAGAGAATGCAAAGTTTTCAATGGAAAAAATCATCAGGAATGAATGCCTTAAGAAGCTGGACTTAGGGGACCAGCAAGTGGCGTGGTGGTTAAAGTGGTGGACACTCCCACATGGCCAACCACGGTTCGAGTTTTGGATATGGTGCCTTCGTTTGTCTCTGTCCCTCTCTCTCTCTCTTTGTGTGTGTGTGTGTGTGTGTCATCTCTGGTCAAATGGAAATAAATGAATGAACAAATAAAATTAAATAATAATTTAAAAAAAAAAAGCCGGACTTAGAAGCAGACTGTAAGAGTCCTTAGAAGCTGCACTGGGGAAGAGCTGCTTACTGGACATTGGATAGATCGGTCTTGACTGGGATATAGTGAACCCATGGCTTCAGCTGGGGATAGAAGAATTCCAGCCACTCGTCACCAACATGGAAAACGAGGGAACCACACAGGAAGAGGTGTTTGAACCGAAAACTTGCAGCGACACCCCGAAAGTTAAACAGGTACCTGAGGGGAAAAAAGAGAAAACATATTTGTTATATTACTAAATACGACCTTTATTTTCTTATTCTTTCCTCCTCTTCTCTTGGTTTAATTCCTCTCCCTTTCTCATTTCTAGATTTCAGGGACACATGAATATGTTTCTGTGGGGTTTCCATAAATTCCTTGTTTCTCCAGGGCTAGGGCTACAGGTTGCTCTGAAAATATTGGGGTAAAGGAAAAAAAGAGAATGTTGTCTCCTGACAGAGCTAGATAAGGTCTGGAGCTATGGCATCATTGGAAAATTCATGATGTATTTTTTCTATGCAAAAATGTGTTGTCACTTTTCTGACAACTCAGTAGGTGCTAGGTAAAGAGAATGCAAGATACAGATGGAAGTGACAGCCTATTGTAGGTTTGGGGCATATGTGGCAGTCTTCGAAGAGTTCACGGAAAATGTATATTATGAAAAAACTAAGGGGCCAGCCAGTGCCATGGTGGTTAAAGCAACTGGATCCAACATAGCTGACTGTGCGATTCGAGTGCCAGACTCAGTGGCTTGAAAAATACACTGTGTGTGTTGGGAACCAGCAGTTAGCGTAATGGCTATGTCGCTGGACTCCCATGTAGTCAACTGCGGTTCGCGTCCCGGACCCGGTAGCTTAAAACTCACACCGGGCGCGTGTGCGTGTGTGCCCAAGATCCCAAGAGGAGAATGGAGGAGAAGGGATTGCGGCATGACCATCCCCCCTGGGGGGTGATTTCTTGCTTTCTGTCTCTATGTCTCTCTCTCTGTGTGTGCGTGCGCACACACCCTATAGCGAAAACCTCTCAAAAAACAAAAAACAAACAAAAACACCGTGTGTGTGCATGCGCGTCTGTGTGCACACACATGTGCCCAAGATCCCAAAAGGAGAAATGGAGGGGAAGGGATTGTAGCATGACCATCCTCCATGGAAGATGCTTTTTCACTTTTAGTTTCTCTCCAGAGTGCATGTGACTTATAGCAAATTATTTAAAAAAAAAAAAAAAGCAAAAAGGAAAGAAAAATTATACATAGATTTCAATTATTTTTGCACCCAAATGAACTCATATTGTAATTCCATTTTCCACAACTTTTTGAAGTTTCTTGTATTGGAGAAAATACAGAAATGTTCACCAATGATACATCACAAATCAAAAGCAGGAAAACTAGACAGATTCACAAGCTGTTTAGGCCTGCTATCTCTTAGCCATGGCCCCTAGAGCCTTGCTTTTCCTCTAGTGTGCCCCGTCTGATCAAAGGCATCCCTTTGTTCCTTGGACATCACTTTCTTCTCCTCAAGTCTGGAGAGAACAGGGACCAGCAGATGGTGTAATGGTTATGTCACTGGACTCCCACATAGTTGACTGCGGTTCGAGTCTCGGACTCTGTGGCTTAAAACTCATGCTGGGCACGTGTGCGTGCGTGCCCAAGATCCCAAGAGGAGAATGGAAGAGAAGGGATTGCAGTATGGCCATCCCCCCTCGGGGGTGATTTCTCACTTTCTGTCTTCCTGTCTCTCTCTATCCTTCTGGACAGTGCATGAATCCTATAGTAAAAAAATCTCTTAAAAAAAAAAAAAGGAGAGGAAAACAATACAAACCTATGCAATTTTCAAGAAATGCTGCCCCATAAAAAGTTATCTTAGAAAAGAACATTTTCTGCTTGGCTTTTCTCTCATGCATACAGACCTGTTTCCAGACAGAGTTGCTTTGACCTTTAGTTTCCACTGTGCATGTAACCAACAATCACATCTCTGAATTCCACTGCCCTCCCCCAGACATGTTTTTTTTTTTTTTTTGGAGAGTTTTTTTTTGCTATAGGGTGCGTGCGCACCGCCAGACAGACAGAGACAGAAAGCGAGAAATCACCCCCCAGAGGGGATGGTCACACCGCAATCCCTTCTCCTCCATTCTCCTCTTGGGATCTTGGGCACGCACGCACATGCGCCCGGCGTGAGTTTTAAGCCACCGGGTCTGGGACGCGAACCACGGTCAACTATGTGGGAGTCCAGCGACATGGCCATTACGCTAACTGCTGGTTCCCTGCCCCAGACATGGTTTTATTGTTCATCTAATTCTTAGTCCTGGCATTTAATTACAATATTTATTAACCTGATTAATATTTCATCTAACTTCAACTGTTAGGTGGGTGGGTGTGGAGACTGGTGATCCCACTGCGTTAATTACTGGCACACAAAGCCTCTGTAAGCAAGATTGGATTTCCTTCATCTCTGCAGTCTCTGCAGAACTCAGGTCAGTTCCAAATGGGCCCTCAGTAAAAGCCGACTAAATGAAGTAAAATGACTTTCCTATAGCCTACTTGGGCCTTCTATTAACATTCTCACCCAAAGTGCGGTTACTACGAAAGCAATATGGAACAAAGCCAAGAGTCTTAGAAGTCTTACTTGTATTTGCAGTGATCCACAAGGTGGACGTCCTTAGCAGCTGGCTTTCCCAAGGTATCCTTTAAGTGAGAAGGCAATTATTAGTATCGGCAGTAAGACATTCACTGGTGACCACTATGCAGCAAGCATCATTATCCTTATTATATAAAGGAGGAAGCCAACACTTTGAGGAGTTGAGAGACTTGCTTAAGGTTACATGGCCCTAAATAGAAGAGCTAGAGGTTTTTTTTTTTGGAGTTTTTTTTTTTTTTGGAGAGGTTTTTGCTATAGGGCGCATGCGCTTGCCAGAAAGATAGAGACAGAGAGAAAGAAAGCAAGAAGTCACATCCCAGGGGGGATGGCCACACCGCAATCCCTTCTCCTCCATTCTCCTCTCAGGATCTTGGGCATGCATGTACATGCGCCGGCGTGAGTTAAGCCACCAGGTAAGGGACTCAAACCATGGTTGACTACATGGGAGTCCAGAGACGTAGCCATTATGCTATCTGCTGGTCCCAAAGAGCTAGAGTTTTAACCTGGGTGTGTCTGATTTTTTAGTTTAAGCTCACCTGAAGCCATGCTGCCTTCTTTTGAACTCAGAGATTACAAAAGAAGGTCACAAGTGCTGGCTGGTGAGTTTAGGGGTATAAGCTTCATATAGATTTTGTTGGTCATGCAGTATTAAAATTAAATATTTTAACCACTATGAATATTTATAGGTAGTAGAGTATTTCTTACAAAAACCCAGATTCCCAACTTTTCTTGGAGAAAATAATAAAAGAGGAAAAATTGGGCTGCTATTTCCACTTGGCAGCCACCAACTGGAATTCTCAGCACTCTTGCTCACTCTTTTATGCCACTTGCCAACCCTGGGGTCTTGTGAGTTTGAGAGCCCCAGTAATTCCATCCTCCTTAGCAGATGACAAACTCCTTGTTGAAGGGAACAAGTTTCGTTTGCTGTGCTTCTGCAGCCTCACTCAGTAGATGCTAATAACCTATGTGCTGGGGCTGGCAGGTGGCATGGTGGTTTAAGGTATTGGACTTCCACATGGTTGACCACAGTTCGAGTCCCAGACCTGGAGGCTTACTTTATCACTTCCCCTCTCTCTCTTATCAAAATTAATAATAATAATAATAAAATTAAACAAAAATAATTCTTTAAAAATGTTGTTAAAATAACCTACATGCTGAATGTATACATTTTTCATATTTTTATTATTTAAGTTTCTTCTTTTGTTCTTGTTTGCTTAAAACTAAATCAAATATGCATCACAGCTATACTTAGTTTTTCCCCCAAGAAGCTTAAAGCTTTTGTTCATGGCATCCTCAATGGTATAAGGACATTCCAGATGAGGAAATATGGGACTGTTAGTTTTCTGATCAAGACAAGAAGTCAGAGTTAAAAGGACAGTGATGGACTTTACACTGAAAGTCCCAATTTATAGTTTCACCTTAGAATCACTTAAGGAGTTTCAAGAATGAAGAGTCCCAAACCTCTCCCCGGAGATTCGGATTCATTTGATTCATTTATTTAGCTCTCTGGCTATACTGTACAGCCAGGGTTGAGGATCAAAGGTTTAAACCTAGGGTTGGCAAACTACCACTCAAAGGTCAAATCTAACCTACTGCTTATGTCTGTATAACTTATGAACTAAGCATATTTTACATTTACAAATAGTTAAAAAAAAAAAAAAGGCAAAAACAATTATGAATGTAAAAAGTACATGAAATTTAAATTTCAGTGCCCATAAATGAAGTTTCAATTAGAACACAGCAATGCCCACTCGCTTGCACATTGTCTGCAGCTGTTTTCATCCTTCTGAGGTACAGCTGAGTAGCTATGGAAAGCTATGACCTGCTAAGCCCATAATATTTACTGTCTGTCCCTTTAGAGAAACAGATTTGCAACCACTGGTTTAAACCTTCAGCATAGTATCATGTACTGGTCACAGTATGGTCCAAAACACAATGTGAGTTTGAAGAAGAAATTTACATAGTCACGGAACTTTCTCTTTATTCATCTCACCACTGAGAGGAAACCTAATCTCAAACTCTACCCAGGTGGCAATGTTCTTAGAGGGAGGCTGTTCACTGCTATAGTTCTATGCGGGTTATTGGTGATTACTTTCATAGACTTCCAGGCCTGGTTTTTGGTGTATTCTGCATCAACAAGTTTTGGATTTTTCCGAGATAGAAGAATGAGAGGATCTCGTTCTGGACTCGTCCTGTAAGACAAACACATGACATAAAACTCCGTGGCCTACGCCACAGTGCTACCCCCAATCTCCGAAAGGTGAGCAGTGCTAGGACCCAGTGCAAGGACTGTACGCAGAGGGACCACTGCATACCCCGCATACACTGGTTACTGCGACAGTGATGAGGGGATACTGGTTCTGCACCATCTAGGCCATCTGGGACTGATGCCTACTTTATCCTTCAAGGTGGGGAACATTTGGCCATTCTCTGTTTGCATCTGGTCTTTCAGGGTACGCTGTTTTATGTCACTACAGCCAACAACCCATGGAATGATTTCAGGAAGGCTGATGTAGCCTCTACACTCACTGATGCTCAGAGCTGTGTAACTAGGTAATCCCTCACAACAGCTACATGATCTTTGTTGTGCAAAGTCAAGCAAAACACATAAATTAAAAGACAAAAAAACTAAATTAAAGGACAAAAAAATTAAAGGATTTAAAAACCTTAAGACTGTATGTGGAAGGTGCCCTAGTTACAGTCCAAGTAGGAGAAGATCTTAAAATGTGAAGTGTGTCATGGATCGCCTGAGAATATGGTAAGAACTGAGGGCCTCCCCTTGAAAACTACACATATCCTATACGATTTCAAAGAGGTTCTATAAGTCCAGATGTGGGCCCGCATTGAGCATCTGTGACCTTAAGTCTTGAAAATCAGAAAGACCGGCAAGGAACAGTAAGCAGTGGTCAGCGCAGCCACATCTTGAAGTCCACTGCCCAAGCAAAGAGGAGGGCGAGTAGAGGGTCTGATTTCTGACAAGGACAAACTGCAGAAACTGCAGGACCCTTCTCCCTTCCTGGTCGTTTCTACTCATTAGCTCCACAGACACTTACTCTGTGTCTGCCAGGTATTATTCCTGACAGTGGAGCTATGGAGCTGACCAGCAGACACAGTGCCATTTCCCTCTCTTCCTCCTCATTTCCCTGTCCACTATCACGCCTCAGTCTGTTCTTAGCCACTGCTGGGCAGCCCCCGGATCTGATGCTAAGGCAGGAGACCTGGGGAGGACAATTGTTCTGCATCAACCCGCACAATGACCGTGGCTCGATCACAAGCTACTCCCAGGAAAGTGGGAATAAGACCTGCGTGTCCTCTCCCATGGCCTATGTTCAGCCACCCACGCGACTCTATAAACATCTGCCAAATAGCTACATGGACAAACTTCACTGCTTTGAGTTTCAGTTCAATTAAGAGTGATTTAGCAAATAATTTGAATTTTCTCTAGTTCAAGATTCTGTGATTCCATATTTATTCCTCTGTCATCTTGGCTTTCCCTTTGAGCTATAGTTAGTCGTACCTCAAGAGTATTTTATATGTTACTTGGAGGAGTACCTTTGTAAAATGTCATAAAACATGGGACCGGCAGGTGGTGTGGTGGTTAAGGGTGCTGGACTCCCACATGGCCTATCATAGTTCATGTTCCAGACCTGGCAGCTTTCTCTCTCTCTCTCTCATTCTGTCCCCCTCTGGTCACATTAAAATAAATAAATAAGTTTAAATAAAAATAATTTTTTAACAACAAAAAAAGAAAATATAATCACCTTGATCCTCGGAAATACGCTGTAGAATTTTTCTTTTTCCACGGCCACTGTGCTGCTGATCTAAAAATATAGATTTTGATTAGTTTCTACGATGTCTTTTTCTCAATTACATGAAGATGTATTTTAACCATTTCTGAAGACTGGTTCAGAGCTTTCCATTTCAAGATAAATCTGATCAAGGCTACTCAAAAGAGAAAACTGTAAATGATACTATGTTTCCTTTCACTACAATTCTATCATTCTTGCCAGTAATATCTACATACCCCGCCCACCATTGTTAACACTGAAGGAAAAGCTCTCAGACCCTGAACGACATGCTAAAGGCTGCTTAATCTGGAACAATGAAGACAGTCTCTCTCAGTAGCGTGCTACTGAGAAAATTTATATGTGAAGAGAACTGCAAAAAATACCAGAAGTTGAAAGGGAAGGCGAGCACTCCCTGACTTCCTGTTTCAGAGGCGTAGAAAGTGTCATCAGATTTGGTCTGATACTTGCAAAGCAGCGAGTGCTCTTAAAACTGTACTCAGGGGACCAGCAGTTAGCGTAATGGCTATGTCGCTAGACTCCCACATAGTCGACCGCAGTTCGCCTTCCAGACCCGGTGGCTTAAAACTCACGCCGGGCGCATGTGCGTGCGTGCCCAAGATCCCGAGAAGAGAATGGAGGAGAAAGGATTGCGGCGTGGCCATCCCCCCAGGGAGTGAGTTCTCGCTTTCTGTCTCTCTGTCCCTGTCTGTCTGGCGAGCGCACGGACGTGCCCTATAGCAAAAACCTCTCCAAAAACAAAAACAAACAAAAAAAAAACTACTCAGTGTAAAGTCCCTGAAACCCAGTCCTCAGTACACGTCTCCATAACCAGCCTTCCTCGCTTAACTTAGCAGCTCACAGGCTCATCTGCACTTCTTCCTAGGAACCCTCCCTGCACAGAAGTGAAAGAGAAGGGGCAGGCGGGTCAGGGGTTAGGGAGGGATGGGTGGTCTTTATTCAAGTGTAGGAGAAACTCAGGATATAACAGGTTGTACCATACATGTTGTTAGGTAGCATTCTTACTAGGAAATATTTTAAATAATAGCTAACACCTATATACTATTTACTACGCTCCAGATACTGTTTTAAGTGCTTTATTATTTATAATTTCATTCTCACAACCTTATCAGGAGGGATTTATTATCCCTCTTTTATAGATGAGGTCCTTGAGTGGCTAAGCAACTTGCTTCATAGCTAATAAGAACCAGGATGTGAATCCACAGTCCCAGTTTTAAAGCCCTGTTCTACCTTGCCTTCCCACTTACCCATAGTCTTCTATTTTTTAAAATAATTTTTTTCATTTGTTATTATTTTAATAATTTGATATAGGCCACAAATACTCACCAGAGAGACAGCAAGAGAGAGAGAGAGAGAGAACGAGAGAAAGCAAGTCACTGGGTCTGGAACTCGAACTGTGGTCAGCCATGTGGGAGTCCAGCACCTCAACCATTATGCCACCTTCTGGCCCCGGTACTCTATTTTTATAACCACGTCATCATAATTCACTTCATCCCTTACTGACAGCCTTTTACACAGTACCCAACTTTTTGTTCTAGGACATAACACGGTAGGGAGTATCTTTGTTCACAATCTTTCCACGTTAGTGTCATGCCTCAGGATACATTCTAGATGTGAATGACTGTGTCGAAGGATACACATATTTTCTTTTCTTTCTTTTTTTTTTGAGAGAGATTTTTGCTATAGGTCACGTGCGCTCACCAGAGAGACAGAGAGGTAGAGAGAGACAGGAGGGATGGCCACACTACAATCCCTTCTCCTCCATTCTCCTCTCAGGATTTTTTTTTTTTTTTGGAGAGATTTTCACTGTAGGGCGCGTGCGCTCGCCAGACAGACAGAGAGAGACATAGAGACAGAAAGCGAGAAATCACCCCCCAGGGGGGATGGTCACACTGCAATCCCTTCTCCTCCATTCTCCTCTCGGGATCTTGGGCATGCACGCACACGCGCCCAGTGTGAGTTTTAAGCCACCGGGTCTGGGACACGAAACCGCGGTCGACTACGTGGGAGTCCAGCGACATAGCCATTACGCTAACTGCTGGTTTCCTCCTCTCAGGATTTTGAGCACACACATACACACACTCAATGTGATTCTCTAGCTGCAGGGTCTGAGACTCAAACTGTAGAGTTGGCCACGTGGGATGCAGCTGCCTTAACCTCGTGCCACTTGCTGGCCCGGAATCTAGCTTCTCCTGAGCAGCGGATTACTGCAGCAACACAGAGCCAGCTCCCATGAACTTTTGAAGACCTGCTCATATTTTTCAAAAAAAGTCGATGTCATAAAAAGGGAAAGACTGAAGAGCTGTTCTGGAATAAAGGAGAATAAAGAGACGTGATGAGTAAATGAAATATGTGATCCTGGACTATGTCCTCTACTGGAGGGGGAAAATATTATATAAAATATTACTGGGACGGGCTGGCAGGTGGCGTGGTGGTTAAGGGCGCTGGACTCTCACATGACCAACCACAGTTTGAGTCCCAGAACTGGCGGCTTGCTTTTTCATTTTCTCTCTCTCTCTCTCTCATCCTCTCTCCCTCTGGCCAAATTAAAATAAATAAATAAATAAGTAAGTAGGTAAATAAAGCTAAATAAAATAATTCTTTAAAAAACATTATTGGGGCATGCTGAAGACAGTGTGGAATGGAGTGGGAGAAGGGAAGACTATAGAGAAGGATAGCAAGAGAATAAATAGAGGCATGACATTAGTGGGTCAGAAATGGTTTATTACCTGTTGATGATAACATGTATAGTATTCTCAACTGGACTGGTCTGAGAAGTATTTCATGTTGGGTAAATTCTCTTTACAAGCCAAATGATATATAGTGATTGAATGTTTAAAAAAATGATGAGAGTAAAAATAATAATAATCTGAAAAAAATGATGTAAAGCTATTTGATGATGAGGATGTGGATAGTAAAGTCTTGGTCTCGACTGACATGCATGGTATTCCTTCTGGAAAAGGAAATGTAATACACTGTAAAGATATACGTGGGAACCAGCAGTTAGCGTAATGGCTATGTCGCTGGACTCCCACGTAGTCAACCGCGGTTCGCGTCCCGGACCCGGTGGCTTAAAACTCACGCCGGGCATGTGTGTGTGCATGCCCAAGATCCTGAGAGGAGAATGGAGGAGAAGGGATTGTGGCGTGACCATCCCCCCAGGGGGTGAGTTCTCGCTTTCTGTCTCTATGTCTCTCTCTGTCTGTCTGGTGAGCGCACGCGCCCTATAGCGAAAAACCTCTCAAAAAAAAAAAAAAGATATACGTGATTCAATGTAATAGAAACAAGATTATGATAATAATAAATAAAATTTTAAAATGTATTATTGGGACAATTAAACACAGTTATACACTGCCTAATGGGAATATATTCTGAGAAAAGTGCCATTCTGTGATTTCATCATGCAAACTTCACAGAGTGTACTTACAGAAACCTACATGGCACAGCCCGTGACACACTTAGGCTTGATGGGGAGTCTTCTGAAACCACTGTCATGTATATGGATGGGGGCAGACGGAAAGAAGGTTATGTGGTGTGAGGCTGTACTTACTGCATTGGTATTGTTCCCTACAGTTTTTTCTTTCTTTTTTTTTAATTTAAGAATTACTTATTTAATTCTATTTATTATTATTATTTTTTAATTTGACCAGACAAAGACAGAGGCAGAAACGGAAAGGGAGAAAGCGAGCTACCAGGTCCGGGACTCGAACTGTGGTCAGCCATGTGGGAATCCAGAGCCTTTAACCACCATGCTACCTGCTGGCCCCTTTCTAAGTTTTCTAATTGCAGTGTAGTTATGAAGAGAACATCCTTGTAATAGGAAAATATACATTAAAGTATTGAGAGGTAAAGGGTCATAGGTAGGCAACATACTTTCAAAAAGTCCGGAAAACTACAAATTACATACGTATCGCATACACAGCCAAATGCCCATCAAAGGAAATAACAAAGTAGATTATTATCCACACACGGAAATAGGATGTTGTTGTTAAAAATAATGAGGTCAGGGGATTAGCAGGTGGCATAGTGGTTAAGGCACTGGATACTCCCACATAGTTGACTGAGGTTCGAGTCCCGGACCTAGTGGCTTATTTTCTTGCTCTCTCTCTCTGGTCAAATTAAAATAAAGGAATAAATAAAATTAAAATAAATAATTATATACAAAAATAATGATAATGAGGTCATAGGCCAGCAGGTGGTACAGTGTTTAAAGTGGCTGGATCCCCTTTACCCGACGTGGATTGGATCCCCTTTACCCGACGGCATGGCTCGAGTCCTAAATCCAGCAGCTCAGAGAAAAAGCAAACCAAAACAAAATTAAAAAACCACTGGGCCTGTGTACATGCACGTCCAAAATCCTGAGAGGAGAACAGAGAAGGGATTGCAGCGAGGACATTCCCATGGGGGTTGATTTCTCACATTTCCTCTCTTTCTCTGGTGATCACATATGCCCTATAGAAAACTAAAAAACCAAACCAGGGGCCAGTAGGTGGTGTAGTTAGTGATTAAGCACTGGACTCCAACATGGTCAACCCTGGTTCAAGTCCCAGACTCAGTGGCTTGAAACTGACGCCAGAAGCTTGTGTGTGCATGCCCAAAATCCCAAGAGGAGAATGGAGAAGGGATTGCTAAGTGACCATCCTCCCAGGAGGTGATTTCTTGCTGTCTGTCTATCTTTGTCTCTCTGGTAAGTACGTGTGCCCTATGCCAAAAAATTTCTCAAAACAAACAAATGAGATCATTTCACATGCACTAACTTGAAACAATTACTTAGATACACCAATAAGGGGGGGGGGGGTAAAAAAGTACCCAAGTCACACAGATTTGTACATTTTTATAAACATGTATTGGTTTCATAATCATTCAAAATGTAGTTTGTTGGTTTAGACAGGGTCTTGCTATGTTGCCACCCTCCTGGGTCAGCCTACAGAAGAGTTAGAATGATCAGCGTGAGCCACCACGCCTGGTTTTTACAGGGAACTGGGAACCAAAGCCTCCCATTAGCTTTAGCTGAA